GGAATGGGCATTCATGCAATCCCAGCACTGCAGGGCTGAGGCAGGGAGAGTGCCTAAAGTTGGCCTAAGCTACATAGTGAGTTTCTGGGCAGCCTGAGCAGTAGGTTGAGATTCAATCTAAAAGAATAATAAGGGAGTGGGTGATTTAGCTCAATGGTAGAGCACTTGCCTATCAAGCCCGAGGCCCTGGGTTTAGTCCTCAGTTCTGAAATAAGGGGGAGGGAGGATGAAGGAAGGAAGAAGGAAGAAATAAGGAACAAAAGGAAGAAAGAAAGGAAGAAAGAAAGAAAAGAAAGAAAAAAGAGTAAGAAATACTAAAAGTAGTCAGCCAAGTTGAAACAAAAAGACAATAAGCTGACTGGGAACCATGGGTCAGCCTGTGCACATGTACACACACACACACACACACACACACACACACACACACACACACACACACACACACAGAGTGTCTAACTCCAGTTCAAGGTGATCCAGTGTCTCTTTTTGATCTTCAACAACACCATACTCACATAGCACCTAATCCTCTCCCTGCAACACATAAATAAAAATAAATCTTAGGTCTGAAGACATAGGTCTGCAGGTTAAGGTACATTCTGCTGAGTCTAATAACCTGAGTTCAGTTTCTGGGACTCACATGGTGAAAGGAGAGAACCATATTTTCAGGTTGCCTCTAACGTCCACATGCATGTAATAAATAGCACTCAAGTACACAACACACAAATGGACACACTCACAAGACACAAGGGTGGGGTGAGAAAAATAAGTATTTTTTTCCATTTTTTAATTTAAATTCTTTAATTACTACTAATATTTACATATCCTCTCCAACAATTCCCTTGCCCTCCCATCCTCCCATGTTCCCCGCCCCCCATGTAACTATTCATTACTCAAGATTTTTATATGAATTTGATTCCTAGGCAAATGTGGTTTTGATGTATGAATTAAGAATATTATCACTACAACCAAATTTCTCACTGTGTACAGTTGCTTTTTCAGAATTTCTCTTTCCAGGATTTTTACGTATATTTGCTATCTATCTATGATTTTGAATGGCTATATATTAAAGATTAATATGGGCAGCCACCATCATATCCCAATAGAAGATATCTTAAATCTGTAATTGTGGTAGCAGATGATGGTAAAATAACCTATCAAAAGGAAGACATAGCTGTGTAATATAAGGTGCTTCACCGGTGACATATATAGCATGTGCCTATCAGTTTAGCCTTGGAATCCCAGAGTAGATCTTATTTTTTTCCTTTTCAACTCATATAAATGAATCAACAAATTCTGTCATTTACCTCACCTGAGTTCCTCTTATTCCCATTGCCTGTGTACCTCACAAGTGAAACAAATACCTATACCCACCGATTTGTAGATACTTTTTAGTGTTACTGATACAACTGTTAAAAGAATCAACAATAAGCCGGGCATTGGTGGCACATACTTTTAATCCCAGCACTCGGGAGGCAGAGGCAGGTGGATCTCTGTGAGTTCAAAACCTGCCTGGTCTTCAGAGCTAGTGCCAGGATAGGCTCCAAAGCTACACAGAGAAACTCTGTCTCGAAAACCCAAAAATAAAAAAAGTATCAACAATATTAGTTACTATCAGAATTTTGTTATTTTCTGTTTTTCCTACAAGATTTATATTTTCTACTAGGCTCCTTCCCCTGACATCTCTTCCACAGTAGCATCAGAGCTGTCATTTTGAAGGGCTATATAGATCACACCATGTCCCTTTTAGTCTCATGAATTTACCCCAATACCAGGTGGGAAATCATTTGTTTCAAAGTGGTGACTCTTAGTCTGTCAGGGCATGCGGATATTTGGGAAAACTTTTTATTTTTTTAACAACACTCCACAACAATCCTGTGCCATACCTGATGACCATCTTGGACCTTCTAGAGAGGATCAGAAAGTGAAAGGACGGTTGACGTTCACTGTGTAAATGTTGAATTCTAGTTGGTCTTGCTCATTATTTGACCCAGAGACTATAGCATAGATTAACCAAGTGGTATCTATGGTGGTGTTTTTCTCTCTGTGGTATTTTATTTCCATTTGAATTGTGCATAGAGGTGGATATTCTGTTAAAATGTTCTTTCATAGGTCTCCTCTTCCCTCAAAATATTTAACTCAGCTGCTACCCTTTATTTTCCCTCTCTCACATCTAGGCAGTTATGATTCATCTGTTTTGCTGTCCATTTTATGAATGTTTATCATAATCTTAATGTTAGCATCCTCTCTGGGTTGGAAAAATGATAATTTGTTAGTTTATTTACTATTTATTTATTCATTATCTAGTGTTAACAGAAATTGAAGTATAGGCCTCAGACATGTTAGATAAATACTGTACCACTGAGCCATGTCCCCAGATCTCGCCTTCCTTTCTAGCTTTAAACAGAATCTCACTAGATTGTCCAGGAATGACTTGAACTTGTTTCCCTGCCACTTTGCCTTCCAAAATAGCCATGAGTCCAGCTATTTAAGGCCCATGTATGGGTACTATTGTCAATTAGCATACTAAAGTTATAATTAAAATGCTTCTTGAGAAGATACTTAGGGTAATTCTTGTGTTTTTAGAAGTATCACTGTATTTCATATCATTGAAAATGTCCATCCTTTTTATCATTACAACAGAGTACATAGAAGCATAGTAAATGAGGTTGACAAGTGAACAACTATAAAGACAAAAATATGTCTTAAAGGTCAGCGAGTAAAGGCAATTTCTTTTACTTTTGTTTTATTTAGGATTACTAGTATAATGAAGACTTTGAAATGATTACATATTTCTTATACTTTGTGGGGAAAAGTTTTATATGTGTGACTGTCATGCTGTTGAATTTTAATCCCATTTGTCAGCATGTATTTTTATTTTCCTTAAAAATATCATGACGTATCTGAGAGTCCTGAGGGGTATGGTAAGTAGGATTATGAAAATCGCAGTGTCTGTTTCCTGGTATATTTTACTGTAAGCCTCATCTGTTTTCTCTATTAACTTCTTTGTCCTTCTGTGTTTCATCCCTAAATGCACCAGAGCGCAAGGAATTCAAAAAACCTTATCAAGTGATAAAGTAATATTGGTCACTTTGGGTTTGTAAACTATTTGAAAGTTGCAAAATTGTTCTATATAATATGCAGAACTTTTCAGGAAATAACTCCTTCAGAACTATTTTGATAACAGGTATTTTGATAGCAAGCCTGTCATACACCTTCTTCAAATCATCTTCTCACAATATCTGTTATGATCTCAGACAGCGGGACTACATTAATCTTATATAACTCAGAGATGAATGATTCTTCTGATTTAATCTTATATTTTGTACTTTAAGTAAACATCTACTGTGTCAGTCAGACCACATGAAAGATAGTTTGCTAGCATGCTGAAAGCATTCTGAAATTGTTAGGATGGCTATGATCAATGAACAGAAAATGAGTAATAAGATGTTTTCGTATATAGGGTTGTGGAGATTGCTCAGTAAGTATAACACTTGCCACATAAGCATGAAGACCCAAATTTAAATTCTTTAAACCCACAAAAAGCTGGATCTCTTAGAAGAGTCTATAATTTTAGTGTTCATAAATAAATATGAGATGTAGAGAAAGAATATTCCCTGCATGCTCCCAGATGGTTATCCTCTACTCAGAACTTCTGGGCAGAGAGAGGAAGTAGGAGGAGAAACGTAGAAATCTAGATGCAAGAGAGAGAGTTTCCAGCCAGTGTGGAGGAAGCAGGATGGATCGTATGGAGAGGTGAGGTATTCAGCCATGTGACAAAACATATTTTAAAATATTGGTTAATTAAAGTAAATAGTTAGGTACCAACCTAAACTAAGGCCTAGCTTTCATAATGAATAAGTCTTGTGTCATTCTTTGTGAGTCGGCAGCCCACAGAAAAATCCATCTACATATGGTGCTCAGTGTCAGACACGAGATAGAGCATTGAACTAAACTGTTCTAGTACTAATCAAAACTTGGGAGTCAGAAATTGAGATAAATTCCAAGGAACAGTGGAGGAGTGATTGGCTGACCCTGCCTTCCATGTTTTTCCCATCCAAAAGCCCGGGGAAATCTCCCCCAGACCCTCCTTCTCTCTCCCTTTCCTTCTCTAACTTCTTCAGTCTTCCAACAACTCCATGGCTAATCCTGGTCAGTCAATCACGGCCTCCATCCTTGATTCAAGTTGGCCTTATTGGCACAGCAAAGTGGTAGTGCGAACAAATCTCCTGCAACACTTACATGCTACTGATAGTCTAAGACTCAGTTTCCACCTGTGTACATATATACAGAAATAGGAAGTATGTACATATGAATATTTTATATAAACTTCCGGACCTATAGCAATTATTTATATTTACATTATACTTTGTATGAGTAGTCCTGGAGATGTTTTAGATTGTTTCATTTATGGTAGAGACTCAGTGAACTATATGAAAATCTGGGAGCTGTCTTTAAAACACCTGTACCCAATTTATCTAGGACCTGTTGCTAAAATTCCTTCTGATAGTGCTATGTAAACATTGTCTACCCTTTCTTCCAGTGTTCCAATGAGAAATTGAGGCACCATTCCATAAAAGTTCATTCTAGGGAACTGATGAATTTACTGCACATTCCTACAGGGCATAGATGATGGGTTACTTCCAAGAAAATAGAAACAACCTTCTGTACCTGGAAAAACTTTACCCAGCAGGAAGGAGGGTATCTGTGAGAGAGCTTATCTTAGAAGCCAGTCACTCATGTCACTCATGACAGAATCTCTCTGTCTTTTGGTAAAGAAATTTTGTTTCATGCCACTTGTATAAAGGTCACTCTGCATTGTTCCTAAAAATAATGTCATAGTGAAGAAGAATGCTATACTGTCAAATTTATGGAAGACAATGATGATTTTTTTTTATAAAACTCATTGGAACATGGAAAATATAAGACAATGTCAGTCAAATTATTATTCCCAAGGTACAAACCAAAGTTTTTAACTAATTAATCATTGTTATTATTTGTAGATGGGGCACACTGAGAGGAGCAGGAGGGAAGAAAGAAAAGTTTTGGGTATGTAAAATACTATAATAGAATTCCTACTGTGAAGTGAAAACCAGGCTCTTTTCCCAGCTTCATATTATGTAACCATATCCTGTAATGTTTTCCACACATTGGTGCTTTCTTCAGCACAAAGATAGTTATAACAGTTTGTATTGTAACAAAGTTTTCTTCAAGTCCAGTGCTTTTAAGATGTAAAAGAAGAATTTGTTTTTATTTCTTTCAAGTTGAGAATCAACAAGGCAATTATTTGTTCTTTTACTATCTAGATTAACATAATGCTTACATTTCACTCATTTCTGCATACACGTCAACCAACTTGAGACTTTTCCTATGTTAATATTACACATAATATCCACATGCATATCTCACAGAAGTTGAAATTTTTTTCTTTTGTTGCCAATTACAACATATACATATGTCTTTACTGGGAAAGAGTTAGCAAAAGTAACATGGAACCTTACCAGATATGTTGATGCATACCTATTACTTCAGCACTTAGCTGAGACAGGAGGAACAGGTGTTCATGGCATCCTTGGATATAGAGTGAATTAAAACTTCAGCTCAGGCCGGGCGTTGGTGGTGCATGCCTTTAGTTCCAGCACTCAGGAGGCAGAGGCAGGCGGATCTCTGTGAGTTTGAGGCCAGCCTGGTCTCCAGAGCTAGTGGCAGGGGAGGGTCCCAAAGGAAAAAAAGAAAACCCCACCTCAAAAAACCAAAAAAAAAAAAAAAAAAAGAAAACAAAACAAAACAAAAAAATCCCCAAAACTTCAGCTCAGGTTACAAAAGACCCCATCTAAAAGAAAACTACTTCCAAAATAACATACCCTAATAAGATACAGGTAAAGTTGGAAAATATTGATGAAAATAGTTGTTTAATTATAATGAATGCAGCTAATTACCATGAGTCTTATTTTTAAGTTTTTAAAATTACATTGTTAATTATTTATTTTGTCAGCATATGCTTATATGTATGGGCATGAATCATCCACATCAAGCAAGTGGACATTCGAGGACAACTTGGCAGAAGTAAATTTTCTTATTCAACTATGTTGGGCACCTGAGGCCAAACTCACTCAGATTATCATGGTTACCAGCAAGTGGCTTTATCCACAGATGCAGCATACACACAGACACAGATGCACACATACTTACACATACCCATGAGGAGAGAGAGAGAGCAGAGGTGAGGGGAGAGTGTGTATGTGTGTGTCTTTTACTTTTCTTCTTTTGAGATAAAACACTATATCCAAAGCAACATATTAAAGAAAGCATTACATTACAGTCTCAATGTTAGAGTCTATGATTATCGTGGTGGGAAACATGTAGGCAGGTGTTGTGTTGAAGCAGTGGCTGAGAGAGGTCACATTTTGAGACACAACTACAAAGCAGGGAGGGAGACTCAGAATAGTTTGATCTTTTGAAACCTCAAAACCCATTCCCAATGACATACCTCATTAAATATGCCCATGCTTTCTAACCCTTTCCAAACGATCCCACCAACTTATGAGCCTACTGAGGCCATTTTCATACAAATACCATTCCCAGGCCCTCATAGATTGTGGCCAAATCATAATGCAAAATGCATCATGATTTACTCTAGCTTCAGTCCCCCCATAGTCTCTCACAGTCTCAACACAGTTTGAAAGTCCAAAGTCTCTTGTGACATTCAAAACCTCTCTTAACTGTAACTCTCTATAAAATAAAAAAAGCAAATTACATACTTTGAACATACAATGACAGAGAATACACCATTTTAAAATGCAGGAATAAGGACTTAATGAGTAAATACTGAACCAAAACAGGACCAAAACTCAAGTTTCTAGCTCCATGTCTGATATTAAATGGCTTAGATGGCTCTCCCCTTATAGTTCTACAATACACTTCTCTCTCTTGGGCTGGTTCTACTCCTTATCTAAAACTTTCCTTGACAAATGTCTCAAGAATCTGGCATCTACAAGTTGGGGGCTTCCAATGAATCCAGTTTATACTTTAAATAGCCTTTAGCGTCTCCATGTAAGGACTCCCCTGCCATACACCTGACCTCAGTAGTTCTCTGTAACTGCTAAGGAAGATTCTACAACTCCTTTTTGTTGAGACAGGGTTTCTCCGTGGCTTTGGAGGCTGTCCTGGAACTAGCTCTTGTAGACCAGGCTGGTCTTGAACTCACAGAGATCCGCCTGCCTCTGCCTCCTGAGTGCTGGGACTAAAGGTGTGTGCCACATCCACCCAGCTGGAAGATTCTACAACTCTTCACTCATGTATCATTCATGATTCTAAAGCCAGATTCACAGTTTCAGCAATGGGGAATTTGACTTCTGTAGCACAAGTTCTAATTGGTCTTAATAAAAACCTGGAGTCAGATGTAGGGGTGAATGCTGAAAGATCAGAGAGACAAAGGAGTAAGACATAGCCACTCTTTACCTTTCCAACTTCTCAGCTGAAAAGGGCAGAGCTCCTGTCTCCACCCTGCCTTCTCACTTCCCATCTGTCTGTACAGACCTCTAGACCTCTATGGTTAACTAGTGGCTACCTCCACCCCCCTCTGATCTCCAGGCAAGCTTCATTTGTTAGGCTACAAAAATATATCACCACGGACTACCTTCTTGGGATGGTGCTTGGACCGCTTGAATCATATTTGAATATGCTTCCCTTTGCTATTGCTTGTTAGGTGCAGAAAGTTCTTCAGACCTTGCCTTTTTACAAGTTGAAAGCTTAGCTGGGTAGGGTATTGCCTTGAGGGTACCCTCTTTTTTTTCTGCTTTGGAACAGGCCTTTCTTTAATCTTCTCATCTCTTTCAGCATAAGCCTTAGCTGCAACATTAAATTTCCTGATGCTCTTTTACTTTTTTTTTTTTACTTTAACCAATTATTTGGTTATCTTGAGATCTCCTCCAGCAAGCAAACTGGACCAATGTTTCAATCTAGCCTTAGGAAGATTCTTAGGACAAGGGCAAAGGGCAGCTATATGTTTTGCCCATATTTTAAATAATGGTCTCTATCCCAGTTGCTTTCTCTCTGAATTATCTTAACTGGGATTCCATACTACATTGCTCTCTGCACTGCTATACTCTGATCTTCTGTTGGGGTGCCCTGTTGAGCTTCACTTACAGTATTCAACCATTTTTTCTAGTTCAAAGGCCCAAAGTCTTCAACATCCCTCTAAAACCAGCATAGTCAGGTCTGTCATAGTATGCACCCCCTGATACCAACTTGTATCTTATTTGTTTTTCTATTTCTGTAATAAAAAACTGTGGCCAAAGCAACTTATAAACTTAAGAAACTACTTAATTTGGGGGCTTAGAATTTCAGTGGGTTAGAGTCCATGATGGCAGAAAACGGGCATGCACCAAGAAAATCTTAGAACTTGCATATTGATCCACAAGTCTGAGGCAGAGAGAGAGAACTAGACTTAAAATGGTACAAAGCTTTTGAAACCTCAAAACCCAGCCCCAATGATACACCACCTCCTACAACAAGGCCACACCTCCTAACTCATCCCAAATTATTCCACCAAGTATTCAAATATATGAGCCTATGAAGGCCAATTTCATATAAACCTCCAGCCCACAGACATTTCCAGAAATAAAATAAATCTATACCTCAGAATCTAAATTTGAATGGACAAAGCAGAAGGAATATTACATATAAGCTATTAAGTATTGGGATTTACACTCACCAGAATAATTTTTGTAAAAGTCTTCAAAAATAACGCTAATTTTTTATAGTTAAAAAGATTGTGAAGGAGAGTGTTATTTTAATATTTGCAATTAAGATTCTATGTTGAGATTCTTATTGAATTAATTTGAAGTATATTCAATTTCACAATAATATAATGTTTCAGAAGAGCCATAATTTGATGTAGTTAATTTATAATAGTTGTTAACATGTAAAACTGTATGGTTATTTGTTGAGTGGGTATGAGGAAATGTGCACTGGAAAATAGTATGAAATCTTCTCATCTTCTTTTTAATCTTTTACAACTGAAAGCCCATAAGTGGTATGCATATGGATATATACACAGATACATATGCCAAAATACATGTATATATTCACATATATGCACTCTCAGAATTTTACTATATATATTCTGTGTGTGTGTGTGTGTGTGTGTGTGTGTGTGTGTGTGTGTGTGTGTGTGTGTGTGCTCATGCCTATGAAGTTGTGGATGTCTAAGGACAACCTAAGTGTTGTTTCTTTGGTGCTACTCTTTGGAGGGGTCAATATCACTCATTGGCCTGGAATTTGCCAATAGTCAAGGCTGGCTAGACTGTGATCTCTAGAGATACACTTATGTTCACTATGCTAGTACTGGGATTGTAAGTGTGAACTACTACACCAGGCATTTATTGTATGGGTTCTGAGGATTGGACTCCTGCCCTTGGGCTTAGTACTCATCTTCAATTGTGATGATATTTGACTTATTAATTCAAGGAATCCAAAGGCTATATATGTTATCACATATAGGATACATGTAATATGTAATATGTAATATGAAAGTAAATAATCTCAATTGAACAAATGAAAAACTATGCATTTAAGGAAAGTAAATCAAGCTGCTAAGATAATTTTCACTTAAATAATTGTGATTTAATTAAAATATATAATTTTTAAGTGTTAGTGATGGTTCTGAATGAAGTATGAAGCATCCAATATTATCAACATGTACACGCAAACACATCACACATCACACAGAACAGTTTCTTGGGTTATAAACAGAGCCAGCTTCATAGTACAGCCAGGTCAACAGCTAGAGTAACAACACAGCAAAGCAGCATTGCTCTACACACTTCACATTTGCTTACAATGTGATGTCAATCAATGGAAATCCTTACATAAGCAGCAGTAGATGCCTCATAATGGAGTGAAGGAGAGCACAGTATTTCCCAAGTTACTTCCAGGAGAAAAGTAGTTTTCTTCTTTCCTGAAGAATCAGGGAAAATAAAATAGCATTTGTTACATTGCCCTGGCTTTTGAGAATATAAATATGTCTTTCCAAGGCCTGGACAAAC